ATTTTCATGAAAATATTGTAAAAAAATTTTAATTTTATAAATCTATTTCCATTTATTTTGAGGTATTGCCTTATTTAACATAGTTACCTAAATTGTCAGGAGGTGTGATGTCCTATGAAAAAAAATGGAGGTCATTTTTGGATTCAGCGCACCAAAAAACATAAAGATTATGTGGAATAACCAAAACAGCTCACAATTTTTTTTTTTGCAGGCCTAAATTGTTGTTAAATGAAACAATTGTTTTAGGCCTAAGTAAGTGTACATAATTAACATCAATAATTGCTGGGGCTGGATCCCTGTATATCCCACATCCTGGGGTCATGAAGGAAGTTGTTACATAAAGCCATACCTAAACAGATTGGTGAGGGCAGCTGGAATTACAAAGCCCCTGTACTATGGCAAAAAGATGAAACAGGATCTGTAAAACTCAGGGGATTGGAAGGAGAAAGGTTGGATACTATTTGTTGCATTGTGGACCCATGCTTTTGTTGCTTCATGAATATTTTTGGGTCTTTTAACAACCCCATAATCCCTTGCATTGGGGTGGAGTCAGGGTAACTGAATGGAGCTGAGTGTTTACTAGCTGGATGCCCTTCCTGTCGCCAATGCAGAGTTCGCAGCAGTTATTTTTTCATTGCGCCTCAAAAAAAACGAGAGAGAGACAGAGACAGACAGAGACAGAGAAAGACAGAGATCTGCTGCTACCTAGGATGGAACTCACAGACTCTTGATTGTGATGCGAGAGCTCCCCTTCTAGGCACTGCACCACTGTGTTTCATGAATAGAATGATGTGAAATAATTTGATAGATGAAGTCTTTTTAACATCTCCAGGCTTGTGTTAAGAGGGCTCATTATTCTCCTTTTTTAAACTTTAAGATCCATGTTAGAATAGCTGGCTATGATGGCACATCAGAAGTGTGGCATTTTAATCATTATGCTTCAATGCTGAAAAATAATGGGTTTCATTTGCTTTTCTACTGATTTTTTTTCTATAGAAATGTTGGTGCATTTTAAAGATAATTTTCCTTGCTTTACGAGCATAGAAGCCATTGTTCAGTGCAAATGACAGCAAAGGCTTTTATTACTTCTTTGTATATTGGATTTTAGCATATTTAGCTATGCCTAAATAGAAACATTCTCAATTTTAACAACTTTGAACAGGAATAAATGAAGCTAGAATGTGACTCTTATTTTTACAACCTCTTCCTCTTCTATTTATTTATTTCATTATTTAAGGTAAAATGTTGTCCACTCATTATTGATCCATTTGATTTCTGGTTTCCTTGTTTAATCAATCATTAAAACAGTTTTCATTTAGTTGCCCATGTCACATTGAGCACTTGAGTGATTTTATTCAGCAGAATGAGAAATTTTCATCTTTCCTAATCAAAGCTCCATCATTATCATCAAGAACTACTGTATGAAAAAGGCTGGAGAATATAGATATTGGTACTTGCATGTTAAAATGGTACTTGCCCAGCATTTCATGTCCATGGACACTTACACGATAGGTTCTTGACATGTTGTTCCTTAAATTAATTCAGTACTGAATTTACTTACCCTTTACAATTTACTTTTCAAATACACTTAGGATACCTCAAATTTCAGAATGCATCAAAAATATGGGGCCCATGATTCTCATGGAATTGAAATTTAGCAAAGTTTATAAAAAATTTATGACATAAACATTATCAGTTTATGAGGTAATACAAAATGTCATAAAACATTTTCTTAAAACAAAACATCCATAAGACAAAGTGCCTAATCATACGTGCCTAATTGCAGACAGTTGCTGTTGAGTTGCAACTTTTTCAAAGAGTTCAGCCCATGAATAATAATAGATAAGGCTTTGGAACTGGAAATTAGAAGATACATTTTGAAAGCTAAGATGTTTTATAGTTCTAGTGGGTTTAACCTAATTTTATTTCACTATTTCTAGTGGAAGAACTTTGCCATTAGAAATATACAGTTGGTCCTGATAATATGGGCAATACAAAGGTTTTATGCACTAACATGCCATGGCATATCAATCTAATGATTAACTCTTGCAAACACATTACACAGTGCAGAATTCTGATGAGTGCAGAAATGACAAATAATCCTGGAAGATGAAGATGCAACAAATCTCTGAATAAGCAGTGAAGAACTTTTCACATATAAATTCAAAAGTAAATGTTTGCTTCTGAGTATTCATTAGAACTCATTCTATGATTTGTCTGATTCTTGACTTTATCTCCTGACACAACTACTGTATTCTTTTGTGATGTACTTTTGCTGTACAGCATCTTTGGTTTAGGATTAGTTGTGTGTGTATGTGTATGTGCATATTTATATTCGTGTGTGTGTGTGTGTCTATACATACATACATATATACATGTATGTATGTGTGTACATATGTATATGTAGAACTGTTTTCCTGTAACATAAATTAAAAGAATAATTGCTTAGCCTTTTGAACAATTATTTTTTAGCTGAAATGAATTGCACACTGTCAGTTGACCCCTTGAGTAGTCTTGACTGATACAGAGAAAACTGTGGTTTGTACATGCCTTCTAATGTAAAAACACATTTGACATAGGAACTTATAGTCTGCTCTACAACCTTCTTGATTGCTATTCTAGAACTTTGGGCTAGAGCAATGAGGATAGATTAGTAGTTAATCAAAGGAAGGATGACAAACAGGGTAAGGAGTCAATGGCAGCAGCTATTTCAGTGATATGGAATGAAGAAGGTCTGATACTGGCTCAAGGAGACATCTTTTTCACACCAACACTTGTACTCTGTGCTATTTCATCTGTTGGGTGTTTTGCTTACTTTTGACACATATTTTTACATGCTTTTGACACATATTGCTGAAACTTTTAAGTGTGGCTACATGAAATGACACCAGTCTTCAGCAGGGGATACTCAGCAAGAACAGACAGTTGTGTGCAAAATCCAACACATATTAACTCCTAGCAACAAAATTAGGGATTGCCTTTCTGAAAATCATCTTGTTCAGTTAGCTGTCTTTGTGGTTTGAGCTTTATGTTCCCATACTTACTGACCTGTTCCAGTGTTAATGTTTACTTATCAGTTCTTGTCTCTTCCAATCTATTGTTCATAATTCCCAAAGCACCTACTCCACCTTCAAGTCCAGTTTTCGCAGATGAGACTGGTGGTCTGTGAAGAGGAATTTCAGCCAATCGTTTTTGCAAGACAGCAAGTGATACTTTGTTAGAGGCTAAGAGGTCTTTCATGGACATTTCAGCAGATCGACTGGATCCTCTTGTCTCACTGTCGACACCATCTGACTCAATTGATACGTTGCGCTGTCTCAACACAGTCCCTGGCATCACAACATTTGTCTGTAACCTCAAGAGTTTTCTTTGGCACTTATGACATGTGCTGCCCATGTTCTTTAATATCCAGTTTAAGAACTGTTTGATGACAATGGAGATCACATTAAATAAGGAATAGACAAAACATATCCCTGTGAGTATAACAACACTGTTGCCAAACCGATAAAGGTGTTGATTTTTGTAGTGTGGATTCCAACCACTCACCATGTCACCAAAACCAATAGTACTGAAGGTCACAAAACAATAATAAAGGGAATCAGAATAACTCCATCCTTCTGTTGCCGTGAACATAGCAGAGGCACTACAGGAAACAATGACTGATGCCAAACACAAGGTAAGCATGACATGATACACAGAGGGCTTCCATCTAGCTAAGTTGTCTACTTCATCAATATCAGCCTGCTGGACATCTCTACGAAGTTTTCGTTTTAACTTCCTCTCATGGTAACTCTTCATAACATATGCTATGACTACGATCAGACGCTCCAGGAATAAGTTGAAGAACAAGATGGCCGCTGCACAGCCAATAAGACCATAAAGTATTAGAAAAAGTTTGCCTGTTCGGGTAGTTGGTGTAGTTCTGCCAAATCCTGGAGAAATAGAAAAAAGGTATGTAAATAAGATTTCTCAGCAATAAGATATTGCACATGTATTCAGTGTATTATTAGAGTTGTCTTTCAGTGGTCATATTAGGTTATAATATGTATTTATGTAAAATTTCATATTGCTTCACAATATTATTCTTATTCCTTATAAGCTTCTGATCACTATTAATATATCATTGTGTGCAAGCTTGAGAGAGTGATGGCATTGTCAGGGCTCAAATAAAACTGAAGTACAATTCAGTCAGATTGGGTGTCCAAAGATAATAGCATTCAGAACTGAAGACTGGGGAGAGGTAAATCAGAAAGAAATGTGTAGGAAACATTTATGGCATTTAACATCAGCCCCACATCCAGAAAGTAAGAATAGATTAGAGGGACTCTAATAAAAAAAAATTGGACCACATTTTTTGTCCTTTCAAAGTGTGGCCCATGTTAAAATCCTGAGAGAGAGAGAGCACTGGATTGTCTTAAAGATTAACACATAGATTACAAATTAGATGTGTTTTAAAGGACTGCATATTTCCTTCATTTTCACTGTTTATTTTATTTTTGATCCTATGTTTCTATCATAAGCTCAAGCAGGGGTGGGATTCTACCGGTTTACCAACCAGTTCGCTGAGCACGCGCTTTGCACACACTTCACTCGTGCACGCGCACAGTTTAGAGAAGACTTACCTTCCAGGATTGCTGCTTGGGCAGGAAAACAGTTGAGACATGGCAATCCACTCTACCATACGACTCAGCTGAGAAGATACAGGTAGGTAAAGTAGAAGGGCGGGCGGGCGGGCCCACTTCAGAGCTATAGGTTTGCCCGAACTGGTAGAATCCCACCCCTGAGCTCAAGGTATGATATACACTATTGCCTCCTCTAATTTCACTCCACAATAATAACTTTGTATAATAGATTGGGTTAAGAGAGGCGGCTGACTGGCCCAAAGTTACTCAGATAACTTCAAAAGCTGAGAATGGACTGAAATGTTCTCAGTCCTAATCTACTACACTGCATTAATTCCACTTACCATAAATGATTTTAATATGTATCGGAGAGTGGCGGAGGCCTATCCACACTTTTGGTAGTATGTATAGAAAAACTATAATTTCTAGTGGAGTTACTACTATCCCCACTATGAGTCCTGAGAGTGGTGATTCTATGGAAACATTTTATGGACTTTTTGCTAAAATGGAAAAATGTGAAATGGTGATTTTTGTATATTCTAATTTGAAAAATTTGACTATAGGACAGAAGGAATCTGCAATTTAAGTTTAATGAGGGAGGAGAGATAGTTTGTATACTGCAAAGAAGACTGGAAGCTACTTCTGCTTTTTTTTCTTTTTCTCTAATTGTATTACTTTTTGTACTTTTTCTTTTATTTATTTTTTTAACTTTTCTTAATATGCTTTCATGTTTAACTTTTATCTATGTAAAAACTTTAACGAAAAAAACCCCTAATACAAAACCCAATTCAACCTCACTTCCCTGACAACAATATTTATTCAAATCACTTGATAGGCTCTCTATCAAATTGGGCTCCACATGCTCACTGGCAAAATTATCTTCAGAGACTTTTGAAGAGTATAAATATGGAGGCCAATCTTATTTCTATGGGGATGATGTACCACAGAGAGGGAGCCAGTAAATAGTGCCAATGCAATAGTTGGGCTTCTTTTCTATAACTGGAGGAGGATGCCACAGAAAATGCACTTACACTGACAATCAAACTCTTCCAGGATTACAACACTCAGAACCAAGCTGAGTCACTCCCTCCCTGTAAAGAATCCCTCTGAGTTTTCATTAAAGTTTTTGCTAGAGTTGCTGCTTGCCTACATTCTTTAATCACTGAACAATCAATAAGTGAACTTTTCAAATTCAGCTTGGAAATCTCCATATGGGGATAAGAAGTCATTTAAAGGAAAAGAAAAAAAGCACCCTGGCTACAGGTTATGATGAAATAGGAGATTCACTAAAGTAAATAAGATTCCCATTGCCAAGTGATTAGGATGGGCAACCATTTCATAACAACTTTACTTTGGAAAAGTAAAGTGCTATCACCATCCATTCAATTACAGCTTGAACTGAGCTGGGCTTAGGTAGTATTGCAAATGAGCCATTGCAGTCTCTGTAAATATTTTGTGGAGAAGGGTCTGAAAATAGACCCCCCCAGATTGCTTTTATTTGATGTAAACATATAAACTTCCTACAATAGTGTTATCTGATCCATCCCTTTTCCTATTCTTTCTTCTCATGTAAGCTGCCCTTTACCTAGATACAGTAGACACAAAAATCATTTCGCTTTATATATACAAACACAAAGCATGAAGACAGTTTGGGTGACACAGTAAAGACTCATACAAAACAAGACAAACAACTATCAGTATTATATTTTACAATGCATAAAGAAGGAATGGATAGCCTGAAGTCCAAAAGGCATGTTTCCCAAAACCTTTTTAGGTGTGTCCCAATCTGCACACTGCAACACTAAAATTCATAAGGCAAATAATTTATTTTTACACTCCCCCTTTCGAAAAACATGATGGTAGGAATCACTAAAACTAATTTAGAAACAATAGACACATAACCTTGAAATGCTTTTCTTGAGGTACTCGTTCCATGCTATAGTGCTGCAAAGCAACAATGCTAAATTCCTTTAACCCCTACGAAAGCAAGCAATATTTCTCAGATACCGCTATGTGGTAGTCAGTGGGTAAAACTGCGGATTCAATGTGACTTTAAGAATGTTATGCCCAATTTATACATGGTTTTGTAATGTAAGCTTTATACACAATATGATGTAACCTTGAATCTATATAACTACCTCACAGTATACGAAAAGAGTTACTGTGAATAGAGAATTTTTAACAGATATTCAGAATTCATCTACCATGACAACAGAGTAGCTGATGTACTCTGGGTACTAATATTGGATGGCCCCAGTTCAAAGGATATATCTTGTTAAAAAGAGTTTATGATTAATAAGATCAGTCATATGAGCCCACCACAGAGTAGTAATAATTTCATAATTTGTAGTAATTATGAAATTTAACACGAGACATATTATATAGTGGTTATTATAGATATTACATTTAGATGATGACAACATACAAAATTAGGATTTTAGTTGTGACAAAGGAGGTACAGATATGATCCCTAGCCTTCAAATTGTAATTGCAAATGGTTACTAAATACAGCAGTTGTTAAATGAGCACTACTGTACCTGTATTCATTACAATCTGAAGAATAGAATATTTTCTTGAAATAACAAATTATGGCTTTCTTTTCTTCCATATTTATTCAAGGGATTTATATAACACCTTTTTTTGTGGGATAAGACATATTATAAAAGAGTAATAGGTCTTTGTGACAGGCAAGATATTTTTAGTTCTATTTATTTATTAGGAAAAATTATGTGACTTCTTATCTTAAATAAATTACCCTTGGTGACTTCTTTTCCAAGAATTTAATCTTCATATGTACCTCCAAGAAAGAAAGATCTCATACAAGTTCTTTTCTGATCTAGATATTCCTTATATTATGGACTTCAAAACCAATAATTTTTAGCAGTGGTTTATTGCTTGGAATTCTCAAAGATGAAGATTACAAATCTAAGAAGTATGCTTTAGATTTTGCCTTCAAATTTTAGTTTTTAAAATTAACCATGTTAAAAGATGAGTTAAAAATAACAGTCCTAGTCAGCATGTTGACTTGGGAAAAACTGAGTAAGCCAGGATCCAGCTTGGCCAATTATATTTGCATCTAACAACATTTCTTTTATCTATTAAAATTTTCAACAGAGCCTATTAAGAACCAACACATTTGTTTCCTCCATTTTCCCCCACTGAAATTTATGGTGCAACACAAGGCAGAAATAGGGAGGTTCAAAATACTGTAATTATTCCTGTTTTTACTATTTTGAATGAATATAGTACATTGATCCACTTGATCACTGTAGATAATGAATCAAACTCCACAAGTATAATATGTGGAGCCTTAAGGAAGTTGTCCTGGAACTGTTTCAACTTCACATTTATTCTGGTTTTGTGCTATCTATGTATTAGGCAGAATCACAAAAAAAGGAGGGTGACTGAATAAACGATTGGGAAACAACTGGAAGTGGAGCAACTGTATACAAAGTAAGTTTGCTATTTCCCTTGTTTATTAATTCAAGTGCTGGAATACATCCATTGTAAGAACTAAGTAGTGGTATATTACCATGTGTGCCTCCTCAAAGCTTTTAGCGGAAATTTCAAATAAATCATGGGCACAATTTAATTTGTAACATGGAAACTTCTGCATGAGATCCTAATGTCTGCACACAAAAGTATATCTAAGAAGAATGTGGAGTCCCTGAGATCCATGGCAAATGCCAACCTCGGAAAACATCACTTTAGCTAGCTCTTTTTTCCTCAATAAGTTTCTTATGCTCTGGAATGGTAGATCTACACTGTGAAGGTTTGGATGACATGGGTGGAAAAGGAAAAATGGAAATGGAAAGTGGAATGAACAGCCAGTTCTGTTTCCCCAGTAACCAGTTCAATGCTTTTAGGAAGGCCACAGGTGAGTCTAGAAGGGACCTACAGACCCATACTGAAAGCTTCCAATTACGGTAATGAAGTGACAATTCAATCTCTAACATCAAGGTTCAAATTAATCATAGATTGTTTGTATAATTAATGATCATTTATTCTTTGTAACTAAAATACAAAAATTGCACAGAGATATAAAAATTCCAAAGGTTTTCCAAAAAGAAAAAGCAGAGAGAAACCCAATCTAACCAATTAATACTGAAGATGCTCTAACTGTTGATGGGGGTAAAAACCAGTTAGAATATGTATATTGGGAAAAAATCACAGCTGATTGCTGTCATAAACAGGCACAATGTATATACACCGTCACCTATTAAATATAAGCTCTGGGCAATTATCCTTTGTAAGTAAGTCTAATTTAATTACAAAATGGAGTTTATATTCTGGTCAATAGAGGGATGTTATATTTTTATATCCACACGCTATATCTATGTCCTGCAAAAGCATACATTGTTGTTTTTGTAGTTGAAAGCAACCCAATAGTTTAGCAGCATTCCTTCAGCATGTCCAACTGTAAATAATTTGAGATATAACATGAAATTTACACAACATACTACAGAGTCAGTTGTTAAAGCACCATGCTACAAATGGGGAGACCTGTCAGTTTTAGTTCTGTCTTAAGTACAAACTCAAGTGGATTACCTGGAGCTGGTCCCTCTCTTAGCTCTACAAAGAAAGCAATGAGTGGAACTTTGTAAAACCTTACTAATAAAATTGTAGGAATTAGTCTGGGCAGTCACCATGATTTAATTTGATGCCCTGAAGCAGCAAAAACAACACAAAAACCTACTACATATTAATTCACTCAATCACTGTCAAAAGAAAACTGTACAATTGGGTCATCTTAAAAGCCAATTACACCTGCTAAATGCAGTTATTATAAAGACTCATCAGTACAGATAACATCACTGCTTGTTCTTTTTGTGATACGATTTGTCATGAAAAAAAATGTTTCTAAACGATTGTGTGGGAGAAAATGAGCACTTGCTGAGATAATTCTTTGATAAAAGTGATACCTTTGGGTATTTAACTCATGTCTATGTGAGAAAGAACATTGCTAATTGTGTTGCCATTTAGAAGGAAGAGAAACTGAGATATTCAAGAACATGCAAGATTAAAGTGGGCAAAAGCCACTATGAACTTTCAAGAAATCTGACTTCCAATGTGTGTTAACAGGAACAAGAGCCATAACACCGAGATTCTTAAAGACATGTTATAAAATTGAAAACACAGCAAACTAGTGGGAAAAGCATGAAGGAAGGGTAACTTGCTTATTGCTCTCAGTACTGTGTGGAATAAATTTGGCTTTCCGCAGTGAAGTTCACACAGATGTGCCCTATTGAAAGAAATCTGTCATGTTTCTAAATACCCTGTGACTTGGAAAAGCACGTTTTAGTTACAGATAGTGACTAAAGCCATTTCACAAATTACATATACAAATACACCAGTCATTCAAGCTTTACCTTCCAGCACTGATGTTGATCAAAGAAAACATTCATGTATTGTCCTTCTCTTGTGAATGGTAGTTATTTTCTGAGCTGGAAAAGTACAAGAGCCACCCAGTGTAAGGCAAAGAAAGTGAAGGAGTGTTTGGACGGTCTCCTCACTTACCTACAGTAGAAACCACGGTGCCTGCAAAATAAAAGGCCCCTATTAAGTCCCACTGGGGCCGCGTCGCGTTGACCCGGACACCAATCAGGTAGGCAGCCTCGTATTCAAACAGAAAACCCTTCAGGTCCGCCAAAGCCAGGTTGTGCTTCTGGGAGAAGTTTTCAATCTTTAACTGCCACTTCCGAAGGGTTTCCAGCTCGGAGGGTCGCTCTAGAGTGGAGAAGATGACAGCTCCGCAAGCCATGTACAGAACAGTCAGAACGGCCAGGAGCAGGAACCGGGCGGTGTCTTGGGTGAGGACGCCAAAGCTGGGCAAAGAACAGGAGCAGAGACCGCGACGAGCCATCCCTCTCTGCCCGCCGGGCACCCCCGGAGTTCCTCCCTATCCCCAGCTCCCCTCAACGGCTCATTCTCCTCGCGCGACTCTCGAAACAGGCGGCCGCGGAGTCCGTGGCGGCGGGTAGGGTTCCGCGGCTCCCGAAGGGGGCAGATCCAAGCCCCAGGCGCCCTTCGAAGTACTTCCCAGGCTCAGGAAGGGGCAAGAGGGCGAAGCGCGAACCACAATGCCGCACCGGCTGCGGCCAAGCCTCGCAGAGCATAGGCGGCAGCCCGTCCCCACAGCGCGTCCCTTAGAATCGCGCCGAATCGCAGCTTCCTTCGCTGGATCTCCAAGCCGTCCACCTGTTGACGAAACTCGGGCTCCTCGGAAGCACCGGCGCAGGCTGGGTTTGAATCAAGTCCTTCAGTCAGATCTCACAACGGCCGGGCGCAGGGTCAGGGCCTCAGCCTTCCCAAATGCCGGGTCGTTAAAAACACCCAAAGCGCGCCCTTTCCCACGTGCGGTGCGACTCCTGTTGGCCAGGAAATCAACGCGGTCCGCAAGGGGCCGGTTTTTTTCCCTCCTGTTTCTTCGGACAACCGCACGGGAAAATCAAGATTGGACAGAGCGCCCGATTTCCCCCCCAAACCCATCGAAGGGAGTCAGAGCTCGGGTCTTTTGCTTCCTGCGTAGTGTGCGTGTCTGTGCCCACGCCTCCGCCTCTACAAGCTGCTTCAAGGGAACGCTTTGAGACACTTGAGGCGAGCCTAGCTGTAGCGCTTGGCTGGTGAGGAGCTTCGAAAGTGCGGATTCGAATTTTACTGGAAATGTTGTGGTTGATCGGGCTGTGGTTTGGGGGAAAACTGGGCGACAGAATCTGGAAGTAGGGCTGCCCTAAGGAATTTAGGAATTCATGTGCTACAAGCACATGAAATGAATTCCCAAGGTCCCATATACCGTGTTGTCGGTAATCGTTATTGTTCAGAAGCCAACAGTCCTGTTTTGTGAAGAGTACAGGTAGAGTTGCTACTACAATGGAGCCAAAAANAACGGAGCCGCAATAGACTCCGATGGCTACACAGCCGGCTGCTTACTTGCGAGGAACCTGGGAACCTCCAGGAGGATCCAACCCACAGAATTCACTATCCTAACACAAGCAGGTGGGAAAGAACTTGTGAGCGAAGTTCAAACACCTTCCTTCTGCTAATAACGTTAAAGATAAGCGAAAGAAATCAATGAAAAACTATTCTGAGAAAGAAACCAATTTTCACTCACAGCAAAAAAAATTACATCTCTTTTCGGGCAAGATTGAGTCGGAATTGGATATCAGCAGGGAAAGCTGGAGGCGTGGCTTCAATTCTGACTCAGTCTCTTGGGCAAAAAAGGATTGAACAACCCATTCCTGGACCCCCCTACGCCATCAGCTGGATAATATATTTATTCAATCCAGGAACTGAAAAGGTTGAAGAAGGAATAAGCAACCTGCCTTGTTTAGAATATGTTAACACAGTTTGTAATATTCACTACCATTATAGTCTGTATCAAGGAATTCTGAGAATTATAACCAAAATCTTTGGTAAGCATCAAATTGTTGGTTGGGATTGTATAAGCTTCCATAAGATAAATATAAAGGTTCATTTCCATGATAACAGTTAATGACGTTTCCCAAGAGAAGACATAGAGACAGCACAGTACTGGATGGAATATTTGCTACTGGATAAGAAGATGCAACTGGGAATATTTTCGCATCTGGAGCATCCCCTGTTGTGTAATCAATTTGCAAGCAAATTTCTGCAGCACTTCATTTTATCATTTTTGCTTCATCCATCTTTGTCTTTTCAAATAAAAGGCTGAAAGCTTGGGTCTGTAATGACACCACTGGACATTTGATTACAGCCCTCAAAGCATCCATAATTTATTTTTAAGATTGAAGTATAGTCACTGTCCAGAAAAAAATTATCATGCTGAATAAAGGATCAAGAGCGATTAGATGACTGGGAGAATTGAACAAATTGGTGAATCAGTTAAGTCTTCTTTTCTGGCATTAAAGTATAATGTAGTTTTGCAATTTAATACACCCATTAAATGAGCCTACATAACTAATAGTTTTCTTTGGAACTGAGTTACACATAGAAAAATACTTTTCTTTTTACTTTTTTATGCAAATACATTTCTGACTTTCTTGAGCAGTGGATAAAAAAAGCAAATTGGCTCTATTTGCATTCATTGCAACCTGGTGTAGGATTAAAATGAACTTACAAACTCTGAAGGCAGGAACAGAACTCCTAGTTCATATGATCGGATCATCAGCTGGGTGCCATTTTTCTCAAAAGCTCCCCAAGCAGCCTTGGAAAGATTGGCACTAAACAGGCATAAACAAAAAAGAGAAGAAAAGAGTTCTGTTTGTGCACAGAATGCAAGAATTTGGAGAGGACAAAATAGGGGAAAAAACCATATAGGCAGTCCTTGACTTAAGACCATTTGTTCAGAATTGAACGACGGGACTCACAACCTGTGCCTGAAATTACGCCTATTGTAGCAGTCATGTGATCAAAATTTACTTGCATTTACGACCATAAGGATGCTTTAACTCTCTCCATAACAGTGGTGTTCCTCGATGGAGGCTGGGGTAGAACTAGAGGCTGGGACCTTCAGCAGCTGCCACCTCTATTTCAGTCTCAGTGCAGCCTCTATTGAGTAATCATATCATGGCCAGCTACCTCAGTGCAAATCCCCAGCCCCCCTCCACATTCTGGAGTCTCTGCTGTGCCCAATTGATCTTCACCATATTATCCCCATTGCTGACAAGATGCACCCAGTTGCTGGCTGTTGCTGCCAGCTCTTCTCCCCAGGCCTCTTCCACTGTTGTCCAAACTGTGCTGGACATCCTTGTGCCAGATGCCAAGGGAAATTGTGGCTGCTAAGTCACATGACATCTTGCTTTATGACTGCATGGCTCAGTGATGAAAATTCCAGTCCCAATTATAAGCGGAGGATTATCTGTAAAAGACTTACCTTGTCACTAGAAACCATGCAATCTTCTGGAAATCCAGGGATGCTCTCATGTAAGTTTTAATATGTGGCATTGCATGACTACGACCTGAGGTTTCAGCTGACCATTTGCTTGGGTTAAAACAAAAGAAAGGAATCTTTCAGATTAAACCCAAGATACGTTTTTAGATTCTAATTCCTAGGATGCGAAATCCATAGCCAGAGGTATTTTATTCCTCCTTTTTAAATAACTGAACATTACTTGAAATATTTGAGTTTGGTGACTTCAAGGTATAACGGTTAATAGCTTCTATCCACCCCATCTAAAAAGGTTCACTCCTGATGGCAGGGAATGATGGGAAACACAACTGAACACATTTGAAGAATCTGGTTGATTTCAGGTACACAGTTGTAGTAAATTAATACAAATAAAAATCCCAACAGTTGATAGAAAAGACAAGATATCATTTGGATCAACTGCCTGCCACCTGACAACGCTCCAGTGCTCCAAGTAGCACTAGCACTTAGACTTATATACACTTCACAGGGCTTTACAGCCCTCTTTAAGCTGTTTACAGAGTCAGCATATTACCCCCAACAATCTGGGTCTTCATTTTACCCACATGGGAAGGATGGATGGCTGAGTCAACATTGAGCTAGTGAGAATAGAATTGCCGAACTGCAGCCAGCAGAAGTAGCTTGCAGTACTGCATTCTAACCACTGCGCTACCGTGGCTCATAAGTATATTGCGATTTAAACTCTGAGCGGAACTATTACACTCAGCATGGAACAGAACCAGTTTGGGGAAGGCTGATTTAGATATCCTTACCAATCACATGCAAAAATCCAATCTACAACAATTTCAGTAATTATATTAATAGAAAGGATTAAATAGAAACACGGAAAACATTGTACTCATGTTTGAAATATGAGATGTCAAGTGTTGTTTTTGGAAAATCAATTGATTGGCATATAATTAAGCCTTTTTAAAAGGTTATTACAATACACCTGAAACTCAATTTATGTAATCTCTGTTTGGATTTTTATGATGAACATTCTAAGACACATCTAATACTAATATTTTTCTAAAATATTTTAGAAATATAAGACACAGTAAGTGTTAGTTTTTAAGGTTTGATTGCATCTTTATTTTAAAACACTAACCATAAAGACAGCATTTTTACTTACTGGAAATAAGAGTGTAGCCAAAGCTGCTTTTGTGCAGTTTGTATACTATATGGCAGAGAACCTCCAGCTGAAAAAGAAATAAAAGACTAATTATTTAATTTTGACAGGTGATCTTACAAGTGTATTATCACAGGCAGGAATATATATATCTTACCTGGATAACCTTCTAAACTCCGTCTCACATTTTCGACACTTGGATAAATCTAAACAAATAAAAGCAAATGTAATACCAGGTATTTATAACAAATGCATTGTGCATGTTATACAATTTACCAATCATCAAAATACTGCCAAGTAACAGAGCATGAGTATATAACAGTCAAGTTTGATGCTGCTATTGGTTTGTTGAAAACTCATGTTATTTTTTCTGAGATTTTGCTACATTAAAAAAAAATCTAACAGAAACTAGCTTTTGGACAGACTTTTATGTTTATTCAAAGGATGACTAAGTCACACCTGCTTTGACAAAGATTTGTTGAATCAGATACACATTTTGAAATCTGAATACTTAAAAAAGCAAAGTAGAGATTTTGTGGAGATGAACAATGTATTTTCAGTAAGGATGAGCAACCAACAGACCCAGACTATATTCTTAATTTTGAAGGTGAAATAGCTGGCTTTCTTTTTGCAGTGCCATTATTTGCTCTTCATACATTTATCTCTCCATAGCAACCATTCAGGAAGCTGGTTTCATATGTTAAGATTTCCTCCCAGTTTTAAGTGTAGAGAAGGGAACAAGAACCTCCATTTGAATCCCTGCCCTTCTAACACTATAAATACACAGACACTCTCTCACGCATGTCCAGACCCAAATGTATGTATCAAGCGGTCAATTACCAGATGGATAGGAATTTCATTTGGAGGAGTCTTCAATTTTTTTCCTAAACTCCCCAAACTTTCTCTAAATTCTGAACACAGCCATTTGGATTGATCAACTCCCATTGATCCAATACTTGAGAATTGTCCTATTATAGACCAAGAATCTTGATCAGGTATTTGTGTTGCATGTTCTTTCAGAAGCTGTTTGGGGAAAAAAACAGAAACAACACCAATAAAATGTTAACACTTTATCACCTTCAATTATTCAATTAAGTAGCAGATGAGACACTTTATGAAGACACTGCTCCTTAATTAGTTGCATATGTTCAATATTTTATCCAACATTGCAGACTAAAATTATTGCAGACATTTGTGCTGAAATCTTACTTTCCTGAATATTTTCCAGATACGTTTAGCTTTAAGTCTTATATTAGTGAGCCAGCATTGTGGCAGACGCAGGCTAACATATCCACTGTTATTAGTGGGAAAACCAGCATTCAATTTCTACATAAAACCAATAAAGTTTTCAGTCCCTTTGTAAACTGAAGGACAATGAATTGAAACCACCAATTGTTGCAGCAATCCAAATACACTTTTTTGGCATAAATTTGTGAATTACCTAACAATAACAACAACAATACAGGGCTGCCTAATTGGAACAATTCAAGATGATATGCAGTGTGTACAAAATATTTATGGTTGACTGACCATTATTTATTATCAAATTCTAACCTTGCCTGCAGAGACTGCAAAAGTAAGCCTAAATCTCTTATGAATTTGCTAATTAAATAATGTATAATGTAGGATACGTAATAATGCTGGGGAAAATGAAAGGAACAGCAGCAGAGTGGATGGATCCAATTATAGTGGTAATGGGCTCACTGTTGGGACACCTGAAGGGTCAGATAAAGGACAGATCATCCAATTTATTTATTTATCAAATTTGTATAGTCATCTATCAACCCAAAAGTGAACCACAAATATAAAACATCTAAAAATCTACAAATATAGAAACCGCTAAGTGTAAAAATGCAAACTGGTCACTGCAGCAATAGACCCATCTAAAAATATTTCTGGTTTCTTAGGAACCCCAGGCCTGATAATGTAAACAGGTCTTGAGGGCCTTCTGGAATATAAAAAAGGAAGCAGCTACCATATTTTTCGAAGTATAAGACACACCTTTTTCCCTAAAAAAAGAGGCTGAAAATCTGGGTGCGTTTTATACACTGAATACAGCATTTTTTGCCTCCTGAAACTCCGCCCCCTTCACCAAAATGGCTATGCATAGCCTGTAGGAGGCTTTCAGAGAGCTCCTGGGGGCTGGGGAGGGCAGAAATGAGCAATAAATGGCCCATTTTTTGCCCCCCCGCCCCCAGCAGCACTCTATAAGCCCCCTTTTTTTGACAAAAATCGAGCCTGTTTTTGTGAAAAATGGGCCGGTTTTTTGCTCNTAACCACTGCGCCACCTCGGCTCTTCAAAGTATCTGCATCAAGGACAGAGGTAGCAATCAAGAAGGCAGAAGGACGAATTGTCACAGCTCCCTCCTCCCATTCTTTTGGCTTTAGTAATAGCCATGAGTAACTATTTGAAAACAATCCTGATCATTCCCCAGAGGAAGAGGACATGATGAGGTGACAAGTTTTCATCTGCTTTCTCTATGGCAAAAAAAGATGGGTGATCAAAGAGTTGGATGCTTTGTAAATTATTTCTCTCATGATGCCCAGAGTTGAGCAATAGAAAAGAATCAGAATAACCCAAAGTTAGAAATAGAGGACCCAAAGTCGCTATTCAGATGCTCCTCCCCTTTTAATCTAATGTGTTCCAGTTACATGGCAAAGGAATGGAAGTGAGATTGTTTTCATCTCTGTTCTTCACTCATCAAAAACAAAAAGAAATTGATAATATGAAGCATATTTCATGCACACATATTCTAAATCCCATGTTTCGAAGTGTAATGGATAGAAATAATGATTTGAGAAACAGGAGGAAGAGCTGCAACCAAGGTAAGTCAGATAAAAGAAATATGTGTCCAGGCCAGAACTGTACCCTGAGTAAGGCTCTCAGACAAGAACCTCTCATGAAGACCAAGGGAGGGGAAAAGTGCATTCATTGCAAGGTTCTGTGACTATACCTTATAATAAAATGTAGTACTGGTATGAGCATGTGTGCTTTGGTTTCCTAATCTGGTATATCTTGAAGACTCACAACAGGATCCATTTATCTACTATTGGAGTCAATCCTCTCTGTCAAAGGCTTGCTGGGCTTGATTCTGAAACATTCAGGGCCCAAAAGAAATTGGCGAGCTAGAATTATATAGTGGGAACAACCAGAGTAAGTCAGCCAGTCTTCAAAAGGCTACCAGAACTACTGTAACCCTGGAAGGAAATTGCTGAATGAGGCTGGAGATGACTTTGATGAGTGGAAGAAGAAACAAGAAGGCAGCTGCTCTGCTTTTTTTATCTGAAGGAAACTGGAAATAAAAAGATGAGAGCTGTCTTCCTTTGTACACATGGAAGCCTCTATTGAATCAAACGCCTTAGGTAAATAAAGAGACAGGTTAGGAGGGACTTGTTAGAACTGACCAAGTTATAATTTATTTCAATAAATTACTGCCTGAATAAAATTTAAGGAAAATAGCCCAGAAAAAGTTTCATTTTGTATTGCTGGGCAGTACTGGACACTATTGTAAATGATATTTTTATTTCCCATTTGGATATAAATTCTTAAAATAATACTGCTTTTTTTCCTCAAATATAGCTGAATATCTTGATTCAATTATGTAATGTACTCATGAATAATCCCAGATTTGAATGTTTCTTGCTCTTTTATTGGCTTGCCTCCCTAAGTAATTCACACACACATTAATATTAAAATATACTAAATGTTCATTTTTTATTGCTAACAGCTAGGTAGTTTATTTCATTTTTTTTTTAAACTTTCTCTTTTATCACGTTCAGAATTTCATAAAACTCTCCAAAGAGATTAAAGTTATTCTGGCTAAAAAAGACAATTATCTGACGGCCATTTCAAAATTTTCTAATTTACAGATACACCTTGTTTAGCAATTGCTTCATTTAGTGACCAGTTTTGAGTGATGAAAAATATGTTAGTAATGAAAGAGAACTTTATGATCAATCCTTATATTTATTACTCTGTGAAGCAAAGGAAAGATGAAGTAAGATCATAAGAATATTACCTATTTCATTTAGTGACCACTTCACTTGATGACTGAATTGCTAATCCCAATTATGGTCACTAACCAAGGAGTCTACATAAATGTAATTTCAAAAGTATGATTTATCATGAAATTTAATGCTGCTAATCTTCAAAGCAATTATTTTTTTTCAAAAATGCTGTTAGTAATAATAACCTAAAGTCTTTTATTTTATTTTATTCAAACAATTTTTTTCCAAGTGTACAGATATATAATAAAATGTACAGATATAAAGCATAAAATCTGACAGGTATTCAAATGATTCCAAATAAAGATTCAGAATTACTTTAAACGTTCATTTCGGAACCCACATATTACCATGTGTATCAGGAGCTTTGGTGTAAGGAATATTCCAAATCCATGGGTGGTCTGCAAAGCAAATTAAAAGGACAGATTTATAGCACAGATGAAGATGAACTGAAATTAAATTAGATTCCCCCTTCCTAAAGTTCTTTATATTAAAGCTATTTAAAACCTAGCCATTTTCTAACCAATCAGTTAATCTTAAATAATCTAATATTGCCACTTTGAAACTATGGAAATGTTTATGAATAAGTTTTACTTGAAATTAGCTTTTAAATTTACTGCTTCATAATACAAAATTAATTCTTTAAAACCATCTTTAAGTAGTGAGCAACGTTATATACAATAATCCTAAAAGCAATTATAGAATCAAAGGTTCTTTGGTTATATTTGGTCTTAAACAGAGTTGCACTTCAAAGGTGGCATGATATCTGAGGTTCATCTGGACTCACAACTCATACTCAAATAACAGGCAGCAGGTGACAGCTGTGACCAAGAGGGCCTTTGCATAGGTACATCTAGCATTACAATTGCATCCTTTTCTGGACTGGGAGGCCCTTTAGTCACATCACAAACAGATTAACAAATGTGCTCAACACAGGCCTATTCTTGAAGGTGACTGGGAGTCTATACTGGTTCAAAATGCAGAGTTGCAGGCAATGATGTGCATGCTTCATTAGATTTATGTGACTCCATTATTTTGTGAGCAGCACTGGTTAGTGTTTGGCTTCTAGATGGAATCTGAAATGCTGGTCATCGCCTATGAAGACTTTCAGGACATCAATCCTGATTATTTGTACTTCCTCTCTTTGGTTGGGTGTATCTGCTGAGATCCAGTAGAGTGGGCACATTTTGGATCTTATTGGTTAAGCAGTCAGGAAGTATAACTTTTCAGCTGCAACCCCTGTCCTTTGGACCAATATTCTTCCATAGATCCAAGTGGCTCCTACTCTGATAATTTTCATAAAGCTATTAAATATATGACCATTGTCCCACCTCTTGGGCAGGATGTTTTGAGCATCTGTTGGATGGTTTTGCTTATTTGCATGTTTGTGATTTCTTTTCTTTTTCTTGTATTTTTGTACTTTTTCATTTTTAAACTGTAAGCCATCAGAACTGTTGAGATTGGAGGGGCTCTAAATTGTATATAGTTATATATCTATAAAGAATGATAATATGTCTGTCGTAGGATAAATTAATATGACCCTTTGACCGCTGTGTGAGACTTTGCTTATTTAGAAAACAGAAATATTATGAATAATAAGAGGAATGCCTGTATTAAAGCCTTTGAAAATAATGTTCCAGAGATCCTAAAGGATCTTCCATTTCCATTTATTAGCTTTTAAAGCAAACCAATTCTATTGCACACAATGATATTTTAAAATCCCATTTAATTTGAAAGGAACTAAAAAGTAAGCCTATTGTTTGTTAGACCAAGGAGGAGCTGTAGTTCAATAACAGGAGCATATTTGTGTAGTGAATACAGTAATAGAATGCTGATTTGCTAGAGAATTATAGTACAAGTGCAAGTGAAATGTGACATGTTCAATTGCAGCACCATTACACAAATGAATCGTAACAACTGATAATCTTATCAGTTGCGACTTAAACCGTTGGGACTGTTGCTTTGTTTTAACTTGCTTGTTTTTTGTTTTTTTGTTTGTATTCCCCTTCCCCCCTGCTGTAAGCTGCCCTGAGTCTCTCGGGAATAGGGCGGCATACAAATGGAATAAACATTACAACAAACATTTCAAACATGAAGCAGCATTCTGTATTTATTCTAGCTGTACCTCACGCTTATTCCAAAAAGCTTGTAACAAGACACTGGTAAAGAGGTAATGATGTGCAAAAGTTTCAGGGTTCAGCTGGATGTCAGGACTGTAGCTGGTTCCTTTTGGGATCTTTGGCCTGCCACACTAATATTCTATTCTACTCTGCTGTTTCATTAGTGGGGAATTGGGAGTGGGAACAGTAAGTAGAATGTGATGTTGTCAAAATAAAATGTCTTTCTAGAATCCAAGATCATCCTTTGTCTCTACACCTAACCGGAACTGGATGGGTGGAGCTGCAGCATGGCAGTGGAAGATTGGACCATGTGATGGNCCCTTTTTTGAAAAAAAAAACCCAGGGCCATTTTCGTGAAAAACGGGCCGGTTTTGGGAGGTTTTCAGAGTGCAAAAACTTTTTAAAAATTTTTTCCTCTTTAAAACCTTGCTGCGTCTTATACTCCAGCGCATCTTATACTCCGAAAAATACGGTAATCCAATTTCAGGGGAAATCATGTTTCATGTATCTGTAGCATGCTATGAAGGTTTTTAAAGGTTAAAAACCAGCATCCTGAATTGCATTTGGAAGCAAAATGGAAACCAATGCAGTTTGCGGAGTAGGGTGTAACGTATTGTTCTAGGGATGCATATAACTGTTGGCAATTCTGCATTTTATACCAGACGAAGCTTTTCAATATTTTTGGAAAGCAGGTCACCAAGGATTTCACTGACTAAGTAAAACTATCTTTTGAATTTTCGTTCACCAGATTCTTACACTTTTGTTTTGCTTTTTATTTTTCTTTAAATCTATTGATTTTTTTGGTAAATTGAGAGTCCAAAATGCCTAACACTGAAACAAACAGGGTTTATGATCTTAACAGTTTTCAAATTCTGAAGGCTATTCTATTAGAAAAGCTGCTATAGCAACGAATTTTTCAACAATAACGAGTAACAAGAGTACCTCTTCATAAGATTACCTCTTCACCGCTCATATCCCCTCCTTGAGGGAGACGAGCGGTCTAGATGGGCAGTTTAGAAACATGAAATATAAATAAATAAATAATTTTACAAATATTTACTTGGAAATATTCCAATCTTTCATAGTTCTACAATTTTTTATCAGAAATGCAAGAAAGATGAAAGACATAAACATCTATTACCTTTCTCAGTTTAAGATGACCCCATTTTTCTTTTGCATCACCTTGGTATCGACCTGGAGTTGACCCAATAAGATATACCCTGCATAAAAATTAACCACACAAAGTTGTTTTCCCAAATTGCATCATAGTACATGTTATTACAGCATAATTATACAGCATATAATACAATTTTAAAAGTTGTTTTCCCAAACTGCATTACTGCTTATTAATAGCAATAGCAGTTAGACTTATATACCGCTTCATAGGGCTTTCAGCCCTCTCTAAGCNAAGAACAGGCCCTGCCCGCAGCATTAGTAGCCCCCAGGGACACAGACCTAACCAAAAACAACAACTAGGGTGGGATCTGGGCCGTCCTGCGCCACGCTGAGAAGAACGTTCAGGTAGAACCAACGTTCCTTGTCCAGCTGATGGCGCAGGAGGGTCCAGGAATGGGACATACCAAAGTGGCAGTCTCTAGGGCGGGAACTCACTGGTTCGTGGCACCTGAGGAAGCATGTACTCCCTGTAGCACCCTACGCCCAAATGATGCCTCTGCAGATGCAAACACATCCAATCTATTATGCTTAATAAAAGGTGAAGGGGAAACCCACGTCGCAGCTCTACAAACATCTCCAATTGGGGCCTGAGTGTTCCATGCGGCTGTGGTGGCTGCACTCCTAGTCGAATGAGCTGTTATGCCCTGAGGTACCGGTTTGCCTCTCGCCTCATAAGCCATGGTAATACAAGCTCGCAACCAGCGTCCAATAGTAGAGGAGGACACCCGTGACCCCTTGGCAGAAGGCTGGAAAGAAACAAACAACGCCTGTTTTCCTGGAGGGTGCCATTCTCTTTATGTAAATACGGAGGGCTCTCTGCACCTCCACAGGAGCGTCCACTTCTGGAACCTGTAATGCCTGGGAGAAATCAGGCTCCATATTATAGAACGGTCTGTCATTCCCACCTGGGGTAGGGAAAGTACCTGGCTTGGCCCACTGTTTCTGGATGACATCCAGAAACAGTTTCGGTACAGGGATATCCTCTTTCCGCACCGTGGGTTCTACAGAGAAACACTTTTTCTTTGGCGCTGCCTTAGAAATCGAAGCCTCAATCCCAGTCTCCTTCGCCTTCTCTTTGTCCTCCTCTGTCTCAGCGGCTGCAGTGCTCCTGGCTTTAAATAGCAAGGAACAGAACAAATTAGGAGGAAACAAACCGGCAAAGGCAGGGGAATCCGGTGCCAAACCTTCATCATCATAAAGCTCCATCTCCTTTTGTTCCTCCTCTTCCTGGAGTGAAACCTCACTCCTCAGCGAAGGAGAGACCTCTCTCTGTGTTCTGTCTGGGCGAGCAACCGGATCCTGGATACATTTGCACTTGGCCTCCAACAGCTCTGCGTCTGCCTGGTCAGGTGGGCGACCCCGGAGAGCTATGCCATGTGCAATGGCTCGATGAGTAAGAGATTGAATGTTATCAGGCAAGTTCTCAAATTCACCAATGTCATGACTGGGCCTAGGCCTGGGAGCCAGCAAGTGCCTGTGTCCTGGTTCAGGAGCAGGGTTAATGCGTGGAAGCGGATGGTACTCGCCTTCCTCGTCCTCAACCTCCGAAAGTGGGGGTGAGATGGAACTGACCCTTGGGGATCCAGAAATCCTTGAAGGAGAAGGGGATGGAGAAAGTGGAGCCGCCCTGAGGATGGGGGGGGGGACCTCACGAAAGACAGAGGAGCCTTATCTCCACCTCCCTGCCTGGACTTCTCTCATCCCCTGAACCCCCCTTGCTTGGGTGGAGCATGCTTCACCAGCAGGGGAACCCTTCCTCTTCTTGGAGCTCTTCGAGGGAGCTGCTGAAGTCGCCCCAAAGCTACTTTCACCAAGGGAATCAGCCATGGCACTGTAGCGATCTCCATTACCCAAGGCCTCACTCTATCCAGTTCAGGAACCAGCACAGTAATCTGCGACTGTTCTCACCAGAGCCGGCACTCACAATGAGTCTCGTGGTAGCGAAAAAAGGGAAACAAAATGGCCACCATGTGACTCACCGGATGCTCAAACAAAATAGCCACTGCCTCATGGCCACTAACAAAATGGCCGCTGCCACGAGGGCCTCCCCAAGATGGCCACCGCCCAATAAGGTCTCCCCCCAAAATGGCCACCCCAGGGGCCCATACTCATGAAGGAGAAGCCTTTGGGGAAAACCAGCAGTGCCGGTGAGCAAATGGCTCTGAGAATGTCCGGTCAGCCGTGCAGCTTTCTCGTAAGTCCAATCGGCACCGTGCGCCTTCTGGTCGTCTCTCCAGCTATGCGAGAATGCTGGTGCACCACACACGCGCTCCCCGCGCCAGCAGCCTCGATGTCCACCTGCTGCAGCCCCTGAGAACCAGCGGCAATGCAGGGAAGCTTCCCTGGCCTCTTACGAGTCAGTAATCAGAATCAAGCCGAACGGAGCCGCAATAGACTCCGATGGCTACACAGCCGGCTGCTTACTTGCGAGGAACCTGGGAACCTCCAGGAGGATCCAACCCACAGAATTCACTATCCTAACACAAGCAGGTGGGAAAGAACTTGTGAGCGAAGTTCAAACACCTTCCTTCTGCTAATAACGTTAAAGATAAGCGAAAGAAATCAATGAAAAACTATTCTGAGAAAGAAACCAATTTTCACTCACAGCAAAAAAAATTACATCTCTTTTCGGGCAAGATTGAGTCGGAATTGGATATCAGCAGGGAAAGCTGGAGGCGTGGCTTCAATTCTGACTCAGTCTCTTGGGCAAAAAAGGATTGAACAACCCATTCCTGGACCCCCCTACGCCATCAGCTGGATAATATATTTATTCAATCCAGGAACTGAAAAGGTTGAAGAAGGAATAAGCAACCTGCCTTGTTTAGAATATGTTAACACAGTTTGTAATATTCACTACCATTATAGTCTGTATCAAGGAATTCTGAGAATTATAACCAAAATCTTTGGTAAGCATCAAATTGTTGGTTGGGATTGTATAAGCTTCCATAAGATAAATATAAAGGTTCATTTCCATGATAACAGTTAATGACATTTCCCAAGAGAAGACATAGAGACAGCACAGTACTGGATGGAATATTTGCTACTGGATAAGAAGATGCAACTGGGAATATTTTCGCATCTGGAGCATCCCCTGTTGTGTAATCAATTTGCAAGCAAATTTCTGCAGCACTTCATTTTATCATTTTTGCTTCATCCATCTTTGTCTTTTCAAATAAAAGGCTGAAAGCTTGGGTCTGTAATGACACCACTGGACATTTGATTACAGCCCTCAAAGCATCCATAATTTATTTTTAAGATTGAAGTATAGTCACTGTCCAGAAAAAAATTATCATGCTGAATAAAGGATCAAGAGCGATTAGATGACTGGGAGAATTGAACAAATTGGTGAATCAGTTAAGTCTTCTTTTCTGGCATTAAAGTATAATGTAGTTTTGCAATTTAATACACCCATTAAATGAGCCTACATAACTAATAGTTTTCTTTGGAACTGAGTTACACATAGAAAAATACTTTTCTTTTTACTTTTTTATGCAAATACATTTCTGACTTTCTTGAGCAGTGGATAAAAAAAGCAAATTGGCTCTATTTGCATTCATTGCAACCTGGTGTAGGATTAAAATGAACTTACAAACTCTGAAGGCAGGAACAGAACTCCTAGTTCATATGATCGGATCATCAGCTGGGTGCCATTTTTCTCAAAAGCTCCCCAAGCAGCCTTGGAAAGATTGGCACTAAACAGGCATAAACAAAAAAGAGAAGAAAAGAGTTCTGTTTGTGCACAGAATGCAAGAATTTGGAGAGGACAAAATAGGGGAAAAAACCATATAGGCAGTCCTTGACTTAAGACCATTTGTTCAGAATTGAACGACGGGACTCACAACCTGTGCCTGAAATTACGCCTATTGTAGCAGTCATGTGATCAAAATTTACTTGCATTTACGACCATAAGGATGCTTTAACTCTCTCCATAACAGTGGTGTTCCTCGATGGAGGCTGGGGTAGAACTAGAGGCTGGGACCTTCAGCAGCTGCCACCTCTATTTCAGTCTCAGTGCAGCCTCTATTGAGTAATCATATCATGGCCAGCTACCTCAGTGCAAATCCCCAGCCCCCCTCCACATTCTGGAGTCTCTGCTGTGCCCAATTGATCTTCACCATATTATCCCCATTGCTGACAAGATGCACCCAGTTGCTGGCTGTTGCTGCCAGCTCTTCTCCCCAGGCCTCTTCCACTGTTGTCCAAACTGTGCTGGACATCCTTGTGCCAGATGCCAAGGGAAATTGTGGCTGCTAAGTCACATGACATCTTGCTTTATGACTGCATGGCTCAGTGATGAAAATTCCAGTCCCAATTATAAGCGGAGGATTATCTGTAAAAGACTTACCTTGTCACTAGAAACCATGCAATCTTCTGGAAATCCAGGGATGCTCTCATGTAAGTTTTAATATGTGGCATTGCATGACTACGACCTGAGGTTTCAGCTGACCATTTGCTTGGGTTAAAACAAAAGAAAGGAATCTTTCAGATTAAACCCAAGATACGTTTTTAGATTCTAATTCCTAGGATGCGAAATCCATAGCCAGAGGTATTTTATTCCTCCTTTTTAAATAACTGAACATTACTTGAAATATTTGAGTTTGGTGACTTCAAGGTATAACGGTTAATAGCTTCTATCCACCCCATCTAAAAAGGTTCACTCCTGATGGCAGGGAATGATGGGAAACACAACTGAACACATTTGAAGAATCTGGTTGATTTCAGGTACACAGTTGTAGTAAATTAATACAAATAAAAATCCCAACAGTTGATAGAAAAGACAAGATATCATTTGGATCAACTGCCTGCCACCTGACAACGCTCCAGTGCTCCAAGTAGCACTAGCACTTAGACTTATATACACTTCACAGGGCTTTACAGCCCTCTTTAAGCTGTTTACAGAGTCAGCATATTACCCCCAACAATCTGGGTCTTCATTTTACCCACATGGGAAGGATGGATGGCTGAGTCAACATTGAGCTAGTGAGAATAGAATTGCCGAACTGCAGCCAGCAGAAGTAGCTNACCCTGAGCCGGTGAGATTTGAACCGCTGAACTGCTGATCTAGCAGTAGCCTGCAGTGCTGCATTTAACCACTGCGCCACCTCGGCTCATAAAAACCTAGACACATTTTCACAAAAAGCTTCTACACAGAGTCTAATTTAAATTACTAAACAAACAAACAAAATGCTTTTCAAAAGAAATAGTGACATTACTTTTAGTAACAAATTCACAAAAATGCATCTTCAATGCCATAATTCTACACAATTCTAGGAATTTTATAGTTTAAAAATTGCTTATATCGAAACACATTTTTATAACTATGATGAACATTGGAACTGTGAGAAATTATTTAATATAAGGATACATTGAATTATATACCTGGTCTCTGAAAGATCATGCTGCTTAATTATTTCAACCCACTCCATCAGACTAGCAGATTTATAAGATATCAAATAGCTGATTAGATCTGATTTAAAATGCGTATGAGATTCACCATCAGACTCAGGACTCCCGGGAGGCAATCTTGGATACAAAGGACTTAGCCATATTCTAAAATATTAAAAGGTAAAGCAGTAAAATAGCATTAACAAGCACATATTATATAGTTTAAAAAGAAGAAAAACTTACATTTACTTTGTGTTTTTTGCAAAGCAAAGTTAAACTCAGTTTTGACATCCTTCATATTCTATCAAACTTGAGTTATGAACACTTACTGTCCCTTGAAATCATACAGTTAGACCTTGATTTACAACCAGTCATTTGAGGTCCATTAGAAGTTACAATGGCTGCAGAAAGAGTGTTTTATGGCCTGTAAAGTCCTTCTGGTCATTGTAAAAAGTCCTTCTGCCTCCCTCTCACATCATGTGATTCCCCCTCCCATCTCATGTGATAACAATCTGGGTGATGTCAGCCTCTGCTTCCCTACTTGCTTTCGGCTGTCACTGAAACGGGGAGGGGGAGGCATGGTATTTGGGAGGGGAAGTTTAAGTACAGGAGTGATTGTAAGAAAAGGGAGTTTTGTTCTCACCATCTACTGAGCATGCTGCAGATAGTGGATTTGCCCGCTAAGGCCAACTGTCCTGCGTACCAGCCTGATGATGCTTTTCAAAGATGGAACCCACATGACACCTGAGGGGTGTGCGGATTGGACTATGGGATGAGGTTACCAGGGGGAGGGAGTTTGGCTCACGTATTGATATCTATGATTACGCGCGCTTTTGCCTCAGTTCTTGCTTTGCTTAGCTGCTATTTACTCATAACCAGTAAAAGTACTCTTAATTCTGCAAAATGGAGTTGAGTGGTTTCTTTCTTGGTTACTGAGGGAGGCTGCCCTGACAAGTGATTAGCAATCTATTTGCACTTTTGAACAATTGCCAATGCCCCATGATCAGGTGATTGCCATTTGCAATCTTCTCTGATAGCTTCCCCAGAAAGTCTGTGGGAAAGCCAGTACGGATGGTTGCTAGCTGCTGCCACTGCCAAGAGGACTTCTCATCTCTGTGGGCTGGCTGAAATTGCTGCCTGCTGAGGGGAATTGAACTCTGTCAATGGGATAAAAAATGAAGCTCAGATCCTGATGTTTGAAGCTCTGTTCCTCCACCTCACCAAAGTTGTTCCCTTCCACATGTAGAGAAAAACTGACATCGTCCCACAGTGCAAAATCAGAGCTCAAATCTGCACCCCACAGGAAGAGCTCCCTTCAATGTACAGAAGAAAGCTGACATCCTTAGGGGGGCAGCTCTTTCAGCCAGCCCCTAGGTACAAGAGGGAACTGAAATCCAAGGACAATTTTCAGCTCCTGAGCAGAGTAGCAGCACAGTAAGGTAAGGAGTGTAGGGTAGGGAAGGTAGGTGAGGGAAACCGGTTTCTTCACTCAGGAGCTAAAAATCCTGTATTGGTTTTCAGTTCCTGAGTGGAATCTCCCAGGGAGTTCCCCTCCCATCCTGTGCTCTTTATTTGGGACTCCATCTGTTTAACAATCTGTGTGTGTCTGCTATCAACCACAACTGGGAGTGCCTGGATTGCACTCAATGAGCAAACCAGTCATGTGGCCAGTCATGTGACAGTCTGCTTAACGCTCATTTTGCTCAGCGACCAGCCCTGACAGTGATAGTTAAGTGAAGGCTGCCTATATTGTAAAAAAAAAAGGGTGGAGTATAAATATTCAGACACTTTAACATATTAGTCAGTATTTCTTTATTTCCTTCAGTTATATAGAAAGGAAATGGCTTCTGTTAATGGATCCCCAACCTATTTGCAAATATATCTGGGCCTGTTATAAAACTTTTCCCACCATGTGCTATTGCTATTGCTATGTTGACTATTCTATCACTGCGTGGAAAAAGGAAGTCTCTAAGTGTGTTGCTCCCATGTACTTTAAGCATTAATGAGGTAGAATAAGGAGGGAATGAAGATTCACAAAAAACTAGGTTTCCTCCAACCCGTAGTACCACTAAACAGAGCATGCCAAGAGTAGTAAGGTACATAATAATTTTTAAAGTTTCCTCATTCATAATTTATCTATGTAGCAAGGAAAGACAGACATGCAGAGACATAGAGGTTCAGGGCAGTCTGACCAAAGCAACTTTCATTAAGTCAATCTTAGGATATTAAAGCAACAACCCTGACATATTATTTATACTGATGAATGAAAGGTCATGTAGATGGCCAAATACCTATTATGTAGAAAATAACCAAATATTTTCTGTAATTTCCTCTCTAAAAGCAAACATTCTATATTCAGGAAATACTCTTTATCCTGAATAAAAAGGTTCTTTTTAGCAAAGCACTACTTTCTCAGTTGTAGACATCAATTATAAGAGAATATATTCACAGCAACCCCCCTCCCCTCCGGAAATTATGCAATAATTTAATTAAATTCACTACAATTTCAGAAGTCCTCCATATGATGCAAGACCATTTATTTTGAAATGCTTCTTTCGGGTGAACAGTATTAACTATTGCTTATTATTCTTTAGTTGATAAAAAAATAGGATTTATTACAGATACTGCTTTTTAAATCTGCATGATCAGGAGATTTGCCGCTATATCAAATCAAATCAGTGAAATCCAATATGCTATTGCCTTTAAGATGTGAGAGTGGAAGCAAGACCAGCAAGACTCAGATGCACAACCACCCACAGTGAAAGTTCACTAGGTGACTTTGGGCCAGTTGCTCTCTTTCAGTTCAGTTATAGGATTGCTTCTGTGGGAAAAACGGGTAGAAGTGGCATTACATAGACCGTCTTGACCTCTGGAAGAAATAACTAATATATAAACAAGACTGTGTCCTCTACGAATAACCAACTCAATAATTGTTGTGAAGGCATTAACTGTGGCATGCAGTCATGGGCCAAAGTACCAAATTATAATTTTTCTTACCCTTGGGTTTTCTGGTACCAATCATCATCAATAAGATTGGATGTATGTATCACGACTCGAAGGCCTTCTTCATAATTCAACAACATCATTTTCCTGTAAAAATAATGTAAATATTCCCAAAATAATTACATATCAAATACTATAAGAATTTTAAAAGACCAAGGCCAAAAATGAAGAGCACATAAATCCATTTGAGTCGCTAAAATTTCCTTTAAGAGTGATATTTCCTAAATGTAGATCTATTCCAATCTTGATTATCCAACTGATTGGCTGGACTATATGTCATTTTTATCAGCCCCATGTGTAGACCAGACCAAGAAGTAGACTACAGGGAAAGGAAAATTACTTTTATTAGACTATTGTAACAGAATCTTGCAAGTCCCAACCTCCCATTTATATTCCTGCAAAACTATGTCTTCCTTTCTTCATATTGTTTGTGCTTGAATTCTTTTTTATTTTGTTGCTCTATATTACATTAATATTTTTGGGACATCACCTTTATAGATGCTTCTATATAATATTGCTATCAGAAAGATTAGATTGGTAGGAACTCATGACAGATCTAAACATAAGGATAAGTGCCTAATATTTCTATAATGTATGGTTTACTAATCTTTTTCCTTTAGTGCATTTATCCTGTTATATTATTCAGAACTTCCAAATTTTGTACAAATTTTCTTCCTAATTACCAACCGCCATTATATCCAACAATCTGAGTATATTATAACATGTACGTCATTCACTGTGTTACATGGTCCATAGAAGGCTTACGCAACATTACATTACCATTTTAGTGCTCTTGCAGTATTCTGAATGGCTCTAAAATTAGGATTTTGTGACTCTTTGTTAATGACAAATATTATTTGAGGAATCAATTACACATATACAAATTTCAGCAGTGATGGTTTGCAAATCCCGTTCCAACCGGTACAGTTAGAACGGGGCCAGCTGTGTCCTGATGGACGCGTGCAGCGCGTGCATGTGTCTTAGCGCCTCCGCAATGCTCCAGCTGCTCTGTGGAGCATTGCACAGGTACTGTACGCAGCATGAGCCTGCACGGAAGTGCAGAAGACTTTAAACACCGGTAAGGAGCTCGGGCAGATGGGTGGTCCCTCCGGAGCACCGTACCAGAACAGTATCTGGTGCTCCGGGTTTGCTCCGGTACGCCCGTACCGGGGCGTACCTCCTGCAACCCACCACTGAATTTCAGGGACTCTAATCTCTCCATTAAAAGATTTAAGCTTCCTAGAGACCAGGGCTTTCAAATAATCGACTACTGTATTGTCTATTAATTCTCCACTGTTATAATTCCATCATTTATTTTTAAAGATATTTTATAAAAGCATTTGTCATATTAAATAGCTAGTCTAATTTCAATGGTGTGCATTGAATAGATTTCATTTTAAAATGTAACCTGATATGTGATTGTTGCCACAATTTGAAATGTGATCCTGCTATGGCCACCTACTTAAAAAATTGCTAAGTAAATATAATAGTCACATGCTCTTTTTGTCAGCTTGTTTTTGTGAACACTTAAAAAAGTAATTGAATCACCATAGATTCTAAATAGAAAATGTCCCATATTTTGCCCTGATGTTTTCTTCCAAACAGGTTGCCTTAGAAACTGGCACCTGAGAATCAAAATATACTGAAATAAAAATATACCTAGTCATATAACTGACTCACTCTATGATTGCACATGGTTCTGCTAGTGTTATAAATATTTATAGTTTAGAAATTAAAGTAAAAACATCTTTAAAGTATGCTTCATATGCTGCAAAATACAGTGAACAGTAAAGCCTAAAATAACAATAAAACAATACTATCTGGGAAAATTGTTTTAGAAAATATTAATTACCAACTTGTTACAAAATATGCACAAATTTTATTTTAACAAGATCTAATTCTATCCTAATACCACTCAAAAGGAGCTTTGCGTTTACATTTTTGAAACAGTACTTTGATTAATGGTTTAGAAAACCACCTTTGAAGGATAACTAAGTGGTGGTATTGGAGGTGGTTGATGTATTAAAGAAGATCCCACCTTCATCCCATTGTATACTGCTTCCTTCTGTTGATTTTTTGCTCATTTTAATCTTAATATTTATCATTTTAATTACTGTTTAATGATTAATATTGTTGCTTTTATCTTATAATGAGCCCCTTTATAGTGAGCTGGGTAGCCTAGACATTAAAAAAACAGAGTAGAGTAGAGTAAAACAGAACAGAACAAAACAGAGTAAATGTAGTATATACTAGTGCTATTTAACTAAAACAAATCAAACGTGGTCATTCAACCACGGCCAAATTTTTGTAATTTAAATATAGGCATACAGGGTGCAATTCCAGGTGCTGATTACTACCATTAAAGTCCTATATTGCATGGTACCATTTACAGGACTGTATCTCCTTAAGGACTGGTTTGAGTTATTTGTAAAAATAATAAAGGTGAGATACAAATAAATAAAATAAAAAATAAGGAGACATTGGGTGGAGTGAGCATGTACCTAACTCCCCCTTTTAAATGTTGCCATTTTATGGGGCATAGGAAACATATCTTTCCTCTAGCAGCCCTGCCATATAGAACACTCTTTTCCTTTGAAATATGGAAGGCCCTCACCCTTTTAATGTTCTGAAGAGCACTTAAGACTTTGCTTTTCTCCTAAGCCCTGGGATAGAATGTTTTTTATTTTCTTTTAACAACCATGTAATCCCTTGCATTGGGGTGGAGTTGGGGCAACTGAATGGAGCTGAGCATTTACTGGCCAGATGACCTGCATTATGTCTATGTGGAGTTCACACCAGATATTTTGTCTTTGCGCCCAGACATAGAAATATCTGCTGCTACCTAGGATCGAACACCAGGTTCCTGATTATGAGGTGAGAGCTCCACCTCTAGGCCACCATGTCACTTGGGATAGGATGAGATTAATGAGATGAAATTGTGGGATGCATGTGAAAGTTTAGCAATGGTGCCAGATTTTGATGTGTTTTAACTGCATCCCCATAGCCTTGGGATCAAAATTTGAGAACTTGGCAATTGGCCTGTATTTATGGTATGTATTTATGACAGTTGCACTCTCCCAGGGTTATGTAATTACTATTTGTAACCTTCCCAATGGCATTCAACAAGCAAAGTCAATGGGATAAGCCAGATTTAATGACCACAGAATTCATTTAACAACTGAAGTGAGATGTTTAACTGTGGCAAAAAAAAATCTTGTTAAATGGAGCAAAACTCACTTAACTACTGCCTTACTTAGCAAAGGAAATTTTGGGTTCAACTGTGGTCGTATGTCAAGAACCTCTTATCTGTATAAACATTTTAAGCAAACAAAAAAGTAGACATGAATATCACTAGGCTTTAATTAATTAAAAGGAATTTGTTTGCTAAATTTAATCCCTCAAAACATATTTTGTTATAACAAACTCTTTATCTGGTGAATTTTTAAAAGAATCAGTCCTATCGTGTTCTATGCCTTTATAGAGCATTAAACAAAAAAGAAACACATTGGCCTGATTCACACATAATGCTAATGTAATGATTTTTTTTTCTTTTGGTATAGCATAATTTGAAAAGGCACAGAATGGGCTAGTATTGTGTGTAAACTGTTGCCATCCATGATTTAATTTGTCTTGCAAACAGAATTATAAGTACCTATGATTCCAGAAAAAGACACATACATACCTGCCATTATGGACTCCAAGGAACCTTTGCCTTTCAATATAAAGTATTGTGCAGGCCATTATGGATAACAAATAACTAGATTATCTAGAACCACTGTTTATATATTTTTAATATTCTAATATTTTATGTCTTTAATCTGAAATTATGGTTTATATGAACTATAATGCTCTATAATTCAGGGAATTTACAATATTAGAATAGTGTGGAAACTGTGCTACAAGAGCTTCAGTGGCACCATGGTGGAAATGCAGTACTATAGGCTTCTTCTCCTGATCACTGGCTGCCAGCAGTTTGGCAGTTCAGGTCTCACTGGCTCAAGATTGACTCGGCCTTCTATCCTTCCAAAGTCGGTAAAATGAGGATCCAGATTTTTGGGGGCAAGATGCTGAGAGTCAGAGAGTGTAAACCGCTTAGAGAGGACTATAAAGCACTGTGAAGTGGTATATAAGTTTAAGTGCTATTGCTATATTCGTGGATGTCAGAATATTGTTAGAAGTCATAGTACCATGTAGAGTAGTGTTGGCGAAAACGGGAGCAAGCACAGAAGAGCCAGAAGAGCAGCTGCCCAATGTGCAAGATGAGGAAGATGGTCTTCTGGTTTCCGGCACACGCATGTGCACCGGCTAGTTGGCTTCTAGTGTGCGTGCACATGAAAAGACCAGCTGGACGGTGCACAGAAACTGGAACATCATCTTCCTGGTGCGCACATGCTCCGGACGGCTGTTCTTCTGGTTTGTGGCACTCTCACGCACATTAAGACAGCTGGCTGGTGTGCCAGAACCTGAAAGAGCAATAGGCGGCAGCTCGCATGCCTGAAGAGATGGCTCTGCATGCCACTTCTGGTACATGTGCCATAGGTTTGCCATCACGGATGTAGAGAATATAAAATTGTGAATCCTAGTCAGTAATGTCTGTGGACCCATGTATAAAAACGACAGAATAGGTCTTACACACTTCACAAACTATTTGTAAAAAGTGCTTTGGATCTTGCAAAAGTGGATCGCCTCTCTGCTATTCATTAAAAGAAACCCATCTTTTTCAGGCTTTTGTGAACGCCTGAGAAGAAAACCCATTTTTTAAAATGAAACCTACTCATTAAAGTTCTTCTGATACACTTTGAAAGTATCCATGGTTGTAAGACCATGTATGTAACTATATGTACAAATGTAAGTGGGGCTCGGGTGCATCTAACACAAAACACATCAAAATTAAAATGCATCTGATGGCAATGTTTATAAGCCTGAAATATTTTATATAAATCATTAGTATAACTGACTCTGTATTTTCAACACTAAAAGAGTTGAGATTATAAGCCCATCACCTTATAATAAAGTATTTTCCTTTCCAGCAGAAAAACCTTGCCATATATTGATAACACTCCAAACTAACCTTCAGAAGTAGTGTAGCTACTTCTGAGAATTCTGGAAGGGGAATGCTAAATGAATTAGGTTTATTAATTCAAAGAGCACTCTGATTACCCTAAAACAAATATTTTGTAAAGCAAGAGATAGAGAAAATAAATAGCGAGGAGAGGAAATTGGTAAGCCAAGGTAATTGGCATTTTATTTGTATTTTTTCAGAACCCAAACACAACAACATGATTCTAATTATTTCTACAATCACAGTGGCATTTATCAAAGTAATTACCAAGATATTTCTATAGCAGACATTCAGCATTTATGATAAATTACTTACGTGTGGTGGGTTCCAAAGGCAATATCCAATTTTGCCTACAATAAGAACATTGTTTAAAAATATGCTTTTCAGCGTAGGGCACCTGTCATTATGTGGAAATAATACTAAAAATACTTTTTCTTTGCTTTATTTGGATGCACTCTGGTGGCTGCTGCATAAACTGCACAATAGACCTTTTAAAGCTAATACTACACAATACAATCTTCGATTCAAAATGTACATTATTTTGTACAATAAATTGTCACACATTTATTTTAAATTTATCAGATTGTATCTCAACGCCATTGTCATCTAGATGAGTTGAAGCTACAATTTCCAATGTTCACAATAAACATAGTTATAATGACTGGAAATTTTGAGAATTACAGTCCTAATATAGACAAAAAATGCCAAGTTAGGAAAGGTTTAAGTAGAACATTATTTTATCTATATTCTGCCTTATTTTTTTTAGAAATAACGCAAGGCAGAAAACGAGGGACGCAATGGCTAAGATACTAAGCTTGTTGATCAGAAAGGTTGGCAGTTCAAATTCCTAGTGCCGCGTAACAGAGTGAGCTCCCGTTACTTGACCCAGCTTCTGCCAACCTACCGTGTTTCCCTGAAAATAAGACAGGGTCTTATTTTCTTTTGACCCCCCCAATGTTGCTTGGGCCTTATTATCGGGGGGGGGGCTTATTGGTTTAGGGTTGCTGGGTGGCTGCTCTTGCAAGCGGGCGCCTGAAGAGCCAGGCACAGCCTCAGGGGCAAACGGCTGTGTTGCACTGTTGCAGCAGCGCAACAAAGCCGCCATGAGGTGACCACGCTCATGAGCAGCCACCCGGCAACCCCCCTTTCTAGCCAGGCAGAGCGCCACTCATCGACCCAGTAATATCCCAAACACGCTAAGCTGTGTGGTGCTGTGCCCGGCTGGAGAGGTTGCACGAGCATTTGTTCTGCCTCCAGCTTGCGTGCCTCCCAGCCTCACCATGCCCTGGCCCAGCTCTCCCTGCAGGCCAGGCCAGGGCGCCACCGTTGCGGCCCCGCTGCCACTGCAGCCCCGCTGCCGCTGCCATGCTCCAAGCATAACCAGCTTCCAAACTCCAGAGATCTGGGACTATGCTCTATGGTTGTGGGCTGGCTGCGGGAAGACTCTCTGTCACCTCAGAGAGTCCGGAAGACTCTCTGTCCGGAAGACTCGGCAGCAGATCTCCGGAGTTTGGAAGCCGGTTATGGTTGGAGCATGGTGGTGGCGGTGGCAGGGCTGCGGCAACAGCAGGGCCCCGGCGGCAGCGAGGCCCGGCCTTGCAGGGAGAGCTGGGCCAGGGCATGGTGAGGGTGGGAGGCATGGGAGCTGGAGGCAGAACAAGTGCTTGCACAATCTCTCTTTCCAGTTGGAAAGGGGCGTTGCCAGGTGGCTGCTCGTGTGAGCAGCTGCCCAGCAACCCCCCCGCTCCAGCTGGGCACAGCGCCACCCACCAACCTAGCCGTATCCCAAAGGCATCAAGCAATGTGAGTGCCTTTGCCCGGCTCCTGCGGCTTTGCACCTTCGGGATATCGTTAGGTTGGTGAGTGGCGCTCTGCCTGGCTGGAGGGGGGGGGTTGTCCAGGGGGCTTATTATTGGGGGTGTATATTTTTGCCCATAGGAAAAATATGGCATGGCCTTATTATCAGGACATGTCGTAATTTCGGGAAAACACGGTAGCAATTCAAAAGCTGGCCACATGACCATGGAGACGTCTTCAGACAGCACTGGCTCTTTGGCTTTAAAACGGAGATGAGCACCATCCCCTAGAGTCAGGAACGACTAGCACATATGTGCGACGGGAACTTTTACCATTACCTTTAAGGCAGAAAACATATACCGCCCATATGTGCGACGGGAACTTTTACCATTACCTTTAAGGCAGAAAACATATACCGCCCTATGAGGTGAGTTGGGCTGAGAGTGTTACTGGCCCAAGGTCACCCAAGCAACTTTATTATGCAGGAAAAAAGAGATACAACATGAGATTGAGCATGAAAGATTAGGAAAAAGAACTCCTTCACTTTACTGGTGCCTTTCTATATTATATATATATATATATATATTGTGTGTGTGTGTGAGAGAGAGAGAATATTTTTTAGGAATCAGAAGCAATAAAAGTTTTACATGATCACATTAATACACAGGGGAAAAATTCAAAAGTTGAACATGAAAAAATGGGGGGGGGGGTTGAGCATGCTTGCTAGATGATGAATTTAGTATCAGGTTAGAGCACTACAGGTGGCCTCGATTTACAACAGTTTATTTAGTGACCATTCAAAGTTACCATGGCACTGAAAAAAGATACTTCTGTTTTCCACAATTATAATCATTGCAGCATCCCCAAGGTCACATGATTAAAATTCAGACTTTAGCAACTGATTCATATTGATGATGGAGTGTCCTGGGGTCATGTAATCCCCTTTTGTGACCTTCTGACAAGCAAAGTCATGGGGAAGCCAAATTCACTTAACCATGTTTCTAACTTAACTGTAGTGATTCACTTAACAATGATGGCAAGAAAAGTCATAAAATGGGGCAAAATTCACTTAAGAATTGTTTCACTTAGCAACTGAATTTTTGGGCTCAATTGTAGTCATAAGTAGAGAGCTACCTGTGTATACTTTTGGTAAATGTAGTGATAATAAAAGTGATTACCTGGCATAAACGAACATTTTTATAAGGGTGAGCATCTTCATGTAGCTCAGCCTTGGATTCTCGCTTCTCTCCATGGACTATTAATAAAGGTTTGTCCCTAAGTTTTTAAAAATATATCAAAAAATTATTTGTATAAGCCTCTAATTATTATTTATTTGAAACAGCTTAATTATCTTTAAAATATTTTGAGCAACATTCTCAAGGATAATTGTGAAATGTATTATTCACACTTTTTCCCCTTCCACCTTAAAAATGTAACCTGCATTCACAGCAGCATGGGAAGGTCAACCTTATCTTCCCACTTCCAAAAATACTAGCCTCTAACTTTGTATAATTATGTAGTTATTACTGGAAAGCAAATGCAAGCATGAAGAAAGCTCCTATGCACCGCAAGCACAAAATAAGGTAGAGTATCCTCCCATTCCCACAAGGATTCTGAAAGAAATTTGTAACCAGACTTGAGTTTCTCCTTCCGTTTGTGTTCATCCCGACATTCATAAATGTGATGACTTAAGGAGGATAGCGCAATTCAGGACCACCCAATTTAAAGAAGATTGGTAGGAAAAATTAAAGGGAACAAAAATGAACAGAAGAATTTCCTTAGAGAATTCATGGGAAGCAGAGGTGGTATTCAGACAGTTCTGACAGGTTCTGAAGAACCGGTAGCGGAAATTTTGAGTAGTTCAGAGAACCAGCAAATAGGCTGGCCCTGCCCCCGCTGCCTCCCAGCTGATCTTCTTTTGTTGCCTTGAACAGGAAAACAGAGCTGGAAAGCAGTTTAGTAGGGTGGGAAGGGAATGAGGATTTTGCAGTAATCTTCCCACAAGAGTGGAGAAAGAATGGGGATTTTGCAGTATGTTCCCTGCCATGCCCACAAAGCCATGCCTACAGAACCCATAGTAAAAAAAAAAATTGAATGCCACCACTGATGGGGAGGGAAAAGAGGTTGTCTTTTATATGCTTTGCTCAACTGTATAAATAGACTGGAGAAACGTATTTCACAATGCACTGGGACTACATCTCCAGAATTTTCAACCATATCTATCAGCCAATACTTGCTAAGATTTCTTATATCTGAATACCTGATAGGCAAGTAACAGACAATCTCTGGATTATATCGCAGTTAAATAAGGTAATTTGAACATGACACATAGGGTTATGAAAATAACACCTGCCCTTTTGTGACATAATCCAAGGAGCTTAAAAATCTCTAGTTCTAGAACAAAAACTCTTACACAGAGTAGAGACTACATATAAATGCTACCTTTCTACCAGAAAATATCAAAAACAGCTATTGCTTCAATGTGACTATTTTAAATTAATTCAGACCAAGTGGATATTATCCTTGTATTATCAATGAAGACAACGGATTATTTAACAGGAAACTATTTTTTAAATGCATTTGAAACATGTTATATTATTAAATAAAAATTATGCTAAGAATCAGTGGTGGGATTAAAAAAAAACTACTATTGGTTCTGTAGGTGTGGCTTGGTGGGTGTGGCATGGCTTGCTGGGCATGGCAGGGGAAGGATACTGTAAAATCTCCATTCCCCCGCCCTCACTCCAGGGGAAGGTTACTGCAAAATCCCCATTCCCTCCCGATCAGCTAGGACTCAGGAGGCAGAGAATAGATGGGGGTGGAGTCAGTCAGAGGTAGTATCTACCGGTTCTCTGAAATACTCAAAATTTCCGCTACTGGTTCTCCATAGCCGGTAGCGGAATACCACCAGCTGAATACCACCTCTGCTAAGAATTTAAGTTCTTCAGTGCAAAAATACATTTTCTCTTTGTTTTCTCCAAAGAGTGACATCTTCTAATGAAAGATTGATACTGTTGCTGCATCCTTAAACTCATTTTTCTTACCCAATGTAGCAAATAACACATTTATCTCACAATACTGATAATAGTGAATTTAGAATGCACAAATTAGAAATACAAAATGGAAGCTGAAATTAAATTCTGAAGCTTTACCTGAATTCCTTTGGATATTGTTGGACCAGCCATTCCACATCTATACAATAATTAAACTTTGCCATGGGGAAAATATGAAAATAGTTTTTAGAAATCAAAAGGAAAGGGAATGCAATATTAAGTGAATGACAGCACATTAGAAGTTATACCTATGTTTATACAGATTTGTATGCTGTCTTACCCATAAAACACAAATATTCTAATATATTAGAAAATTAACGAATGCCATTCTATAGAAATATACAAAAACAGATGCAAAATTTAAGCCGGGATTTTGGGAGATCTTAGTTTCTCCTAATTGAGTCATTAATGCACATTCTATTAATTTATGCATGGATATTCTCTCAAGAATAAACAGCTAATTAAACAAACAGTTTTCCAAACTGTCAGTCGCAACTTACATTACTTAACAAGATGTGCTGCAAATCTGGCTGTATTATTAATGTAAAATCTTGATTTGCTGGAGAATAATAAATCAGAGCCCCTAAGAAACTTTAAAAAAACATGAAAAATATCTAATTACCAGTAGTTTGACTAGTTAGCCTTTTGCACTCAGAGCTCCTGAGAAGCATCAAGGACTACAAAAGTAGTTCTTAAGTTCAAACATTACAAATATTGACTTACCACTCCTAGTTAATAGATTTATAATGAATATGTAACTAAATTCATAAATGTATTAAAATAAATTGATACTTATTCTTTAATAGCATTAAAATAAAAAGTACACCGTGCACACACAGTTTCATGTCTTTTTAGAACTGCCACCTATTTTGTGATACTGATCTTAACAAAACTACCATTCTACCATGGCTTTTGGACCTTTTTAATATACTGTAAGAAGGTAGTACCCACTCCTTCCTAGAAAAATGAAATATTTTGGGAAATATTAAAAGGGCAGAATTTTTACCCTAAAAAGAGAAGTAGAAACTCAGAGAGGCAAAAACTTACCCCCCACCTTTGTTAATGGGCCATTAAGGCCTAGACCAGTCTATTCTACATAACAAAGATCTACCCCATTTCATTGCCCCCCCCACCAAGTTTCAACCAAACTTAGCACACAGACAATCTACAAAGCTTATTTATCCCCCCCCACCTTTGTTAATGGGCCATTAAGGCCTAGACCAGTCTATTCTACATAACAAAGATCTACCCCATTTCGTTGCCCCACCCACCAAGTTTCAACCAAACTTAGCACACAGACAATCTACAAAGCCAGCTATGACTTCTGACAGCAACCAACCAGCATGCTCTTCCTGTGCCCCAGGAAGTTCAAAGCCCAGAGGTCATAAAACCCAGGGACTTTCAGCATCTCTTCCCTTTTCATCCTGGAGCTCCAAGACATGTCGTCCTGTCCACCATTAAACCATTTTTCCAAACAGCCTCCATGTTTCCAGTGTCTTTTTCCCCATTTCAAACTGAATCCAGATGGACATTTCTTCCAACAATACAGAGCTATTTTAATTATACATTTCCAAAAGATTATTCTGAATTTTGACACTACTACAGAAAAGATATGCTCTATTTTATATTGAAAAGACAATAAATAAAATGTACCTGAGCAGAAGATACAAGAGTCCCAAAAAGAGGAGATAAAATATCTATTATAAGAAAAAAAAAGATATGTTGTAACTACAGCAAGCATACCTACTGAAGTGGTAACATATATTTTTTTTAGCAATGTCAATCAACTAATCCTAGATTTTGCTCAGGTCAGGTTCACATATTACAAGAAACCCAAACCAAACAAATTACATGACGTACCCATGATGCAGGAAAAAACCACCATTTAATATATTTTATCAATGTAATTTGCATGTTATATAAAGATTATATATTAAATTGCAACATAAACAATTTAAGAGCTATGGTGGTGCAGTGGTTAGAATGCAGTACTGCAGGCTACTTCTGCTGACTGCCAGCTGCTTGCAATTTGGCAGTTCAAGTCTCACTGGCACAAGGTTGACTCAGCCTACCATCCTTCCAAGGTCAGTAAAATGAGGACCAAGATTGTTGAGGGTAATATGCTGATGCTGTAAACCGCTTAGAGAAGGTTGTAAAGCACTGTGAAGCAGTATATAGGTCTAAGTCCTATTGCTATTACTAAACAGCCTCCCTCACTATAGCCAAGCAGCTAAATCTATTCTCAACTAATTGCAATATTCTGGTTTATCCAAATTAGGAAAAAAATGCAGCTTGCTTACATTTCATGATTTAAACAAAATAAAATTAAGATAGTTTCTGGTCCTGGTTTGCTTTAACCCATAACTAAAAAGCTAATTACAATGTTCAGCTTCAGTACTAATTTCCAGGAATATTAGAATAGTCACAGTTTAAATTACAGGTTCAAAGGAGTGTTTCAGTACATTACAGAGTGTTTGGCATGGTTTTTGTAGACATAATTTCAACAATATTAGAACTTGGACATGTTGTCCCTTCTTATTTTGAGTGTTTCTAGCAAAATATTCAATTGAGATATGGGTAGGAACAGAACCTGCCTGTAGATTTACCAATCAGCATATGCTGGGACTAAAATAAGGAAGGCACTAAATTGATTAAGATATATGTTTAGTATCTTGATACATACAATTTAAAAAGGATGACTTACAAAAACAAGCCATCACAAATATCAAGCAAGATATAGTAATTTTATTATTTATTATTATTTTTTACTGAGTTCACTTGTATTTTGTAATCATAAAGCATAGAAAAAATTAATCTTCTGGGCCTTTTGGCCATAAATATAATTGATTGGTTGAAGCCAATTTGGTAATTATGTAAGAAATTCTTAAGCTCTTCCAGTCTTTCTGGGTCAGTAGGTACATTTTGCAGAATCCAACAATTTAGTTTTTAAGAATACCTTTGGGGTCTATGTGGAGCCCAGAGGCACTACTGAAAATGCAGACTAGAGAGATTAATATTCCACAGCATGCTAATTTCCCATTCATTTTTTATAAATTAATCTTTTTATAAAAAATAATAATAATAGGGAGCTTGAGCAAATGTTAGGGCCTACGGTTGTTACTGTACTACATTGTTTACATGCCAGCTACAAGAAGTATCATTGTTTCAGAAAAAACAAAGCAACTAACATGTTTAGGCACACTTTTCCCATGGTATTTTTGCCTTGATATTGCTTACCTTTTATATGAAGGGCTCGGGAATTGTATTTTGACTTAATTCCTTTGACTTTAGTGAGGAAGAATCTGAAAGGGTCCTGCCCATTCAACAGATCCCATGTGTCCTGTACTTCAGATGGCTCTTCAGACTTGTGACTTGATGGAATCTTACAAGCTGTTGGTAGCTCCATGAGTGTCCCACTCTCTGCTTTTCTGACTGTAGTTATTGCATCTTTATTTCTACTTGAGGTTTTAAGATCCTCATCTTCACTACTGGAAAGACACCAGCCAAAGTCTTCCCGGGCAAATTTCTGATCTGAAGCCTCCTCCTCCTTTGGAAAGTTTCCAGCTACATATTTCAGAGGAGACATTTTTCTCTTGTTAGCAGCTTTCCTTGCCTCTGAGACAGAGTGGCTGCTCTTTTTACTTTCGTGGCCTCTCTGCGTCACAGAGGTAGAAGGCTTTTCAGAATCAGCTAATTCATCCATACTATCTTCACTACTGGACAATGTCCATTTCCCATGCTGACTTTCCTGAGACATGATACCCTATATATCAAGGAAAAAAAGGGGACAGATCTCCAAGAAAGTCTAAATGAGTGAGGAGACTACTTCTCCCACTGCAGAAGCCCCTTTGGCCAATTACCTATCATGCTGTGCCTTCAGCTTTCACACATTTCCATTCAGGGGCATCCAAAAAAGAATTCAACTGTTATTTGGTTCGCTATACACGCCCTGCCCTCTGTTCCTAAAAACAGTAAGTCTACAGCAGGCAAATTCCTTTTCTATCCTTATAGTTCACCAAGGGCAAGCCATAGATATAAAACAGATTAATAAAACACGCTGGGCAGGAGAACGGAGGATAATTCAATGTGCCGAATTTAGTGGTTTTTAAATCGTTCACCGCTTCTATCTATACACGGGACTTCAATCCATCGCCAGCCACGTCGCACACTTCGGAACACCCAGCAGAAAGTGATCGCGGGGACTTGATCGTATAAGAGAGAAGGAAGGGAAGCGCTGCGCGCTAGGAATCAAACCTGAACAAGCTATTAGTATAATAAAGTGTAAGAAAAGAAACAGAAGAATAATTCCCTAAAACACCCCAGGAGGGAACTTCTTCTTCACTGGTGGCTTCTGCGAATGAATTGCAGTCCATCAGCGAAACGGCTTAAAAAGAGAAAAAGCGGCACTAGGGAGACAAACTTCCTCTTCCGGGGAAAGCTCCCGCCCCCTGGACTCCAGGATTGACATCGCTTCGCTACCAATGATTGGGCTGTTTATCAAGAACTGAAAAGTACGAACCACCAGGTTTTCCACGCCCGATGCCTCCAATGGGTCTTTCTCCTGCTTTCGGCCGCTGACAAACCCGCGTTTTGACCGCGAAGAGGTAGTTGAGGGAGAGCGTCGCTCCGTTGCTAAGGGAGGCTTCCTTGCAAGTTGGCTGTGCTTTCTGCTGTTGGCAATGTGCGCGGCTCCTAAAGAAGCGGTGACATCAAAAGATTGCCCAGCCGAGAAGTACCGCAAAAAACGATGGGTTAAAGTAGGTAGTTTAAATGGGGCATTTATTTATTTGTCTGTCTGTCTGTCTGTCTGTCTGTTTATTTATTTATTTATTTATTTAAGTTACTTTGTCAAAACATGTAAAAGATAACAGGTATAATAAGTATAAACATAAATATGAGCACAGTAAATGGGTAAGAATAAATGAAGATAGTAAAACAAGGACGGAAGGCACGCTGGTGCGCTTATGCACGCTTACAGACTTCTTAGGAATGAGGTGAGGGTGACATTAGACAGTCTTAGGTTAAAATTATGTGGGTTTGGGGATGTAACAACAGAGTCAGGTAGTGCATTCCAGGCATTGACCCCTCTGTTGCTGAAGTCGTATTTTCTTCAATCATTATTGTTGATGTCCCTGTATTTTCTCACCTGGTCTAAAGATTCCCAACTGCTAAAGATCCCCAACTAACCCCTACCAATGCAACCTGCGAAGGATACATTCCAGGGAAACACTGGGGGGAGGGAAGCTTTCCCAAACACATGCCAAAGTACAGCTTTGTCTTGTGTGCTGGTTGTGTCTTTTCCTGGACTGGGAAGAATTGCCTTAGTCGCTGTGGGAGTGGAACATGCAATGCACGTTCCAATGGGGCTGCTGCCTTACAAGAATATCCAGAAACTTCATCTGGTCCAGAATGCAGCAGGATAGGCAGTTATGGGTGCTACTCAACATGTCCTTAAGCTCCCGGTATGTTTCCAAGTGCAATACGGACTGCTGGTTCTCCCCTGTAAAGCCTGACATGGAGCATGAGTAGATAAATTGTGGGACTGCCTTTCCCCAGTTACATGTATTTCTGCTTGCTCCATCAAACCAAGTAAGAGAGGCATACTTGAAAGATGCGGCTGAAAGTATGCCAACTGTGTCAGATTACAGATTATACCAATAACAGAGTTGGAAGGGACCTTGGAGGGTTTCTAGTCTCACCCCTCTGCTCAAGCAGCAAAACCTTAGCATTTCAGACAAGTGGTTCTCCAATCTCTTCTTAAAACCTCCAGTGATGACAATTTCTAAAGGCAGTCAATTTCTCCTTATTTTTAGATTGTTTCTCTCCTTGATGAGTTTCCATCCATTGCTTATTGTTGTGCCTTCGGGTGCTTTGAAAAATAGCTTAACCCCTTCCTTGAGGTGGGCCCCTTAGATATTGGAACACTGCTATCATGTCATCCTTAGCCCTTTTCATTAAATTAGACATACCCAATTCTTTCAATTAGGAGGAATATATGGGAAAAAATAGGCAGAAGCCATAGGAAAAATAGTCCCTCAAATAACAGAGCCTAAGACTTAAAAGGCTTTATATATGACAACCAGCATGTTGAATTGCACCTCTCAGCTGGATTCTGGCAATTCGCTCTACTTGAGGTTGCCCTTAAAGTCCATTTGGAAACTTTAACTGGTGCAGAAAAAGGCAGTTCAAGCAGATTATATGTCCATATAAAACTTCTCCACCTTCCAGGTGCAATTCAACATGCTGGTTGTCATATATAAAGCCTTTTAAGTCTTAGGCTCTGTTATTTGAGGGACTATTTTTCCTATGGCTTCTGCCTATTTTTTCCCATATATTCCTCCTAATTGAAAGAATTGGGTATGTCTAATTTAATGAAAAGGGCTAAGGATGACATGATAGCAGTGTTCCAATATCTAA